TGGCCAGGCGTGAGGGCCATGCGCTGCATCACGAAGTTGCACATTTCCATGACCTTTTGAGCATTTTCATTTGTGCCGCTGCGGCCACTGCAGCTTCCTGCTTGTCAATGGGGCCAGCTGAACATGGAAAACACACAGAAAAAATATAACATTCAGCCGGCCCCATTCACAAGCAATGAAGCAACATGCTCAGCTTCAGCCAATAACAAGCTTCCTGCTCCCGTGTGAGCATGGCTGCAAGCACAAAAGAAGAAACGCCCCCCAGAAACCAACACAAGCGTGCAAAACTATTGCCGCAGGCACAAAACGAGCAGTCAAAAACACACCAATACAACAAACGCGGACGTGACCGAAGCACGAGACGGTAGGAAACACAGGGAGTGGGAAAAAGGCTTACCGAAAGAAGAAACTCAGCCCCGTGAAATTCCTGCGAGTGGGTAGCATACCACGCTTGGGCGCCATTGGGGTCGGTTAATTTGTGCAACATTACCACAAAGCTATAGAATGGATTCTGTGTTACCAGTCCCTTATGAGGTGCACACTGTGATGATGTGGGGGAACCAAGGATGATAAAAAACGACACAGATGAAAACTGTGAGTTAGACTGAGCAAAAAACGAGAAAGAAGACGCAGTGAACGTGGTGAAGATGTAACTAGAAGACGAAGACAACAAGGCAAAAGCAAAAGATGGATATAATGAAAAACGAAGACGTGATGAGAGGAAGACGACACAAGCTTGTGATACGTGAAAAAAGGGCGGGCATGACACGGAACCCGGCTCGACAGCGGTGGTCCTGGCAGCCAAAGAAGAGCCCGGACGGACGAATCCAGGCCCGTGGGGCTGTTAACCAAGCTTGCTGGGAAACATCCGCTTCTGCCAAGCGAGCCTGCCAAGCATTTCCGAGACGGGACTAACTCCATGCCAATGCCGACGTGCAACACCGTGTCGTAAGCGGATTTGCCGAACTGAACTTTGTTTATATATCTACACCGTTTTATTTCTTACTTCCTTTTCTTACGACTGTAAATATCTCCCTTCTTATCTTCCCCGCTCTGGAATTCCGGGTCCCTTTATTTTATTTTTTTCCATCACACACAACTTACAAGTGGTCTAAAGTGCATATCGATGTGTCTCAACACTGTACCTGCATACTCATACTCTGGGCCGGAGACAACCATGCCCTCCAGCAGGCGCACCACTGGCTCCTTCTGGACAGGGGGCAGGTAGGCCGCTCCGTCGGAGTCGTCATTGTCGAGGCGGGTGGCCACGTGCCCCGCTACTGCCCCCCCCCCCCCCCCCCAAGCACAGAAATTGCGCTCATGGGTGTGGGGGGCGCCCCCCCCCCCCCCCCCCCCAAGGAACAATCGTGTATGTCAGGTCACTTGATTAAAGCAGTCGAGATACAGGCACATAATGAATATTCTAAATAAACACTCCTGTACATAGACGAGGCTGGGACATTTTAGCACGATATTTTTGTCACACAGGTAACAAATAGAAAGGTAGGTCGATCAATAAGGCAATAACGCCGCAACAGTAAACGGCCCCAATGCCATATCATGCCATTTCGCATGAAATACAACTATTTCACCGCTCCTTACGGAAGATATGTCGACATCTGTTGTGCGTCTCAGTACAACGGAGCTAAAGTGGATCTAAACGGGAGCGGGATAATCCACGGCACTCGAAACACTGCACATATCACAATCTTTCTATATACTGTACTGAACAAACTGCGGAATGACACACGCTGACAAGAAGGAAGCGCGAAGAGTTTTCCCAATAAGATCCTTCGCCAATCGCAAATGCCAGAGTAGATCGATCACTCCGAGTAATATGGACGAGTAGGGACAGAACACTCACCTGCCTTGTGGGTCTTGCGCTTCTCGTCCGAGCGCTCGTTTTTCCACTTTTGTCTGAGGTTCCCCCAACACTTCTTGAGCTGATTAGAGTCCCGTGGACTAACACCCGGTAAGCAGTTATACTCATTGCAGAGTTTTTCCCAGGTCTCGTTTTTGAGGTTCGAAGATACGGAGTCTGTCTTTTTGCATTCAATGATCGTTTTATGGTTGCCGACAAGCCCCGACAGAATCGATATTTCATCAGCGGTGAAGCGCGCCGGTTGTTTTTTTTAGTGGCCATTCCACTGGTGCTCAAGGGTTGGGGGAATCTCAAAGTTTAGGAGAAGAAAACTTGCACAGAAGGGAAGGCTGGAGCGTCCGGACCAAGGAGGTCTTAGGTACTAGGAAGGGGCACGTTGCAATATTGGTGAAGCCTAGTCATAAAAAGTTTAAACGATTTTGTGCTCAGCGTGACCACAGATCTCTCTGGCGATTGGTGCGACCATAAATACCCTGTCAGTGTCCCTTTAACAAACGGCTCCAGACGTCTGCTCGGTCAACACAGGCTGCAGGAAGATTATGAAAATTGCGAGCGCTTCTTGAGCCAAGGAGCATGTTAACCCGCTGGCGCCCCACCAAGCAGCTGATAGTCGTATTTCAAATCAGGTTTTTGTAGCGATTGAGAAGTCATTTTGACGAATGTGCGGGTTATGTATTATATTACGTACTATGTCCCACTAAAGCAATATTAGTATATTCTTCGGGTTGAAATAAAAGCTTAGTTGACCAGCTATTAAGTGAACTGCTGAATAAAAGTATATTTGACAGACAGAGAGATACCACTTAAACTCAGCCAAATGGTTCTAGCCGGTAGCACGGAGACAAACGCAGACAAACTGAAGGGAATGTTCATCAGAGATTCACGCAGAACCTCTCTGCACTGAACTTGCCTTCGTATCCTGAATGGAGAAGATGAGTATTTTTTGTGGCCGGTCAACCTGAGCAATGTAGACGTACATTGCTGCTGGCTTCGGCAGAGGTACAATATAAATATTGGAGGCGCGATAGATCATAATGCTGTGACAGCTACTGACTTTGCGAGACGCGTCCCCCACCTTTTGAAAGCAGACAATTTCCCTCATTAATCGTCCGCAGCGAGCCGGTTTTCCGGAATCAAGTAATTGCAAAATCAACCCAACTCCCTCGGTGTGGTCCAGAGGCTTTTTCGGCGAAAAGAAGCCAAAATGAAAAGCCAACGTACCGACCGGCGTGGATGGCTCAATCTTGAAGCTAATCGAACACAACCAAACTCAAGAAAAGCAGCTATCGAACCTTCCCATTCACATGACTGCAACATTGGTGTTCCCCTCAATGAAACACCTCGTCTGTCGTTCTCAGTCCACTGTTCCACATCCTTGTAAAAAAAACACTTATCACTTACCAAGTAGTCGTCACTTCGAATGTGATTCGAGACAGACAAGAAATTAAAACGTTTTTCTGTGATTCCTGCCAATCCAAGAAATCGAAAGCACGCGATTGTGTTTTGTGGAGTAAACGGGCTTTCAAACACGTGTTGGAAGGAAACATTCTACAGATGCTTCCTCACGCTGAGCACTCAAGCAAACTTAAGAAATTCTCGGACCTTCGTCAAATTACATTGCTCGCCACCGCGCCGACAACATGTGTCCGCGAAAGCCGTCAGAGACGCACGGAGGGGCGCAAAGCGGCCTGTTCCGGCTGGTTCCCGGTTTTCCCGCTTGGTGGCGTCCGTTTTGCTGGAGTCGCGTATGTGGCTATTTTTGGGCTATTTCTAGTGATGTGGCGAACATTTGTCGAACCTCAGGTTCAACGTTGAACTTTGAGGTTCAACTAGTTATTTTTCAGACTTTTAATCAGTTTCGAAAAAAGTTTGTTTCTCTTTTGATTAGCTGAGAGGAGAGACAGGAAGGAGAAAGGCTTCAAATTTGTACAAACTTCGGGGTCTTCACAATGCGCAGAGAAGCAAAGACTTGCGTAGGTCAAGCGGTCTCCCCACAGCCCAGTGGAACCAGTGGAACTAACCATACAAACAGGTTGCACTGTTACCACAGCTCCGGTAGCATATATTCTACCGGGATGTAAACTGAACTCTCCAAACACTGCTTTGGTGCACCTTGTGAAAATTCCTCGGCACCCAAGTTCGCAACAATAAGAAGTCTGCGGCTTCATCGCTAAACAATTGACCAACTTCCAGTCGTCGCCCACCCCAAGAAAGGACAACACAGTCGGAAATAGCGTGAACCGGAGTGGGGGACACTCATATTCTACACAAAGAAAAAGAGGCGGATGGGATGTTAGTAAGGACCTTAGATGTTCGGGGTTCTAATTTGAAACGCCCAGCGTTCTGACTTGTCTGCTTCTGTTCTTTTACTGCACAATATCTCCCGGGCTTCACAATAAAGCTGTCTTCGTGTGTTCTGTACTTACTTTTGAAAACCTACAAAGGAAGAATCAGTGTTGTGTGAATTTCCATCCTTCTGGAGCTTTTTCCGAAAAGTTCACAAGTGACATAATGTGCACAAAATGTGGCGCATCGGAGGGTTGAAATACAGAATTTACCGTGTTTCGTATGCGTGTGAAAAACTGTCAACGAAAGGCTTAAAAATCCTTGTTTCTCGTCTTGGCTATTTTGGCTATACCTTTTTTACTGCTTTGGCTATATTAGGGCTATACCTTCCAGCCGTTTGGCGAATGTTTGGTGGAACCATCTGGCAACGCTGCTAAATGAAAACCAGACGGCAGTGCACGAGGGCTAGCGCCGTCTCGTGCTCTACACGCATCTCCCCTCTGCGAGGAGGGGCCGAGTTCCCAATGAAGCGCTTGAGCCTTCTCTTGCATTTCAGAAGTGAAGAGTAAACGTGCACAGCTTCGATTGGCGCTAGAGCCCAAGCTACTATAACTTCGGCTACCATGGCGTGACACTAAATTCCCGCCAAATTCAGCGGAGAAAATTTTCCCGATACACTTAGCAGGGGGCGATTGCGACGTCATGCGACACTGCGATTCCCCGCTAAACGTAGCGGGGAAGCCACGACGGACACACAAACACACCTCAGGATGAGTCGTGAAACCTCGCCACCACTAGCAAGTCAGAGCAGAAATAAAAGACCACGAAAACATACAAAAAAAAAGTTGTGTATTTAGTGTTGCAAGAGCTTTTCTTCCCTATTGGAAAGACAAACACAGACGAGGGATGCTTTGGAAGCCAGACATTATACCCTTACTTGCATGACTGACACAACAGCAACAAAATGAAAAAGAGAGCTCATAAAAGCAACATCCGACATTATACTGTCTTATCGTAACTTGGCAAACGACGAAGGCTACGGTCCAGGTGAGCCAATCAGTGCGTCGGAGGGAAACACGTGATTATACTCTATCTCGCTAGGTGTCATCCCAATCCGGCTGAAGTGTCCATTCGGCTGACAGGTCAATTCGGCTGAGCAGACCGATTCGGCTGGACGGCTTCAATTCAGTTGTGCGTAGTGCTGCCAAATCCAGAGGCGGGAGAGAAGACGCTTTTGTACGAATTCTGAGCGACAGGCTAGTCTCCGAGGGGGTCGAGAGCAACGTCTGGGACGTACAAAAGAGGGTCCGGGTAAGAGCGAAGTTCCTCCTTTCCCCCTTCTCCAACTGCACATGACAGCCCCTGCCTTTGGTAAGGGTTGTCCCTCACTCTGATTGGTCCGATGGGGCCATAGCATTCACTCTTTGCCATGTCACGATGAAACAGAGTATGGCAATTTTTCACAAAAGGGAGCCTCGCGTTGAGTGGACGTGTTCACAGCAGCCCGGAAGGCTCAACCGGTGAGTATTTACTCAGTAAAATCTATTACGAGTAAACCCAGCCTTTCAAGGCCATGTAAAGTTACGTAATTCTAAATTGTACCCGCAGTCAATTTTCAGTTCACATCATTTGTACGCCGACTCTTTCCAGAAACATATACATGGTTTGATAGAGAAAATTAAAACCTGTTTTTGGGCCCCAAATAAACGATGCATCGCAGAAAGCTCCAATCTCGTGTTAAAGTGACGCTGGTGGTTGTATACAATGGGAAAGTTTTAGAACGGGACGTTGGATCGAAAGATAAAAACGAAATTTCGCATTGAGGCAACATTCACCAAGGTCTAATATTCACCAAACCAAGAAATGGCACTGCAGGTGCCTGTAGCGTTTTTTTCACTGAAAAAACAAAACCTGTCAGCAAGAAAAACAATCTTGTATTATGTATCCTGTCCAGCTCGCTTGCACCTTTGCATTTAATTGCATTATAATTATAATCTTGTATTCTTTTTTATTTACAAGCCTGTTTCACAGAAATGAATGCCACAGGCATCCATAATGTGATTCCTTAGTTTGACAAATGTTAAACCTAGCTAGACATGGGCTCATAAAAAATATATTTTTATCACTTTTTCTTTTTTTATCAAATTACTGTTTTGTTTTTAAAATTTCTGATTTTATTTCCACCAAGCCTCTTATTTAGATGGAGGTACAGTTTTCTACAATACATAGTTTCATTCCGCGGGGTGAAAAAGGTGGTCGAAGTTTCTCTATCGGACCTTTTACAAAGTTGTGTGTGTTGTACAAAGGAAACCTGAGAGCAACACATCCTAACAATGCCTGCAAATGAAAACCTAAAACAAATAAAGTCAAACCACAAAAAAAAAAAAAGTTTTGAAGTTAATTTTGACAAACATTCAAGCATACTCCAAGAAGTGCTTTGCCTGCAGATCTGTTTGCACTTGAGACACAACTCTATCCTATGATCGCTGTGGATAAAGGACTTGCATGGGTATCACTTGAACTCTTAAGGCCCGTTCACACTCTTGCAACCGAGCACGACCGAGAGAGACGAGATCTGTTAAAACTTCTTAATATTTCTTAGGATGAGGGAACACACTTAAAACACACTGGCATTATGGCGCCATCTATGCGATGACCCTGGCACTGCAATTCCCAAGAGCGAAGGTAATGCGGGATTTCCGAGGTCAAATGTGCATAATACCTATGAAAAAGGCTCGTTTATAACATTTACAAAAGTTTTTCGAGTCAAGAAAGGAAGGATAATGCGCGGGAGCAATAGAAAATATGCCGGACCGCCAAGTTTACACTGCTACCCAATAGATGGCGCCACTGTGTCCTCTCGTTACAAGAGGTTTCAAGGGACCAAGTTCTAAGAAGTCGCAAGAGTGTGAACGGGCCTTAACACCACAGTAGCAGTCTTTCTAATGCCGAGGGTAGAAAAGAAAAAAAAAAGATGAGAGGACTTCGTTTCTCCTGTTCCTGACCTTTTTTTCAGAAGCAGTTTCTCAAAAACACACCTCAGAAAAACTGGAGAAGATAATACCCAAACCTCCTGTGGCAAAAAAAAAAAAAAAAAGTTAATGAAAACAAGATGTTTGACACCATCATTGATGCCCCTTTAAACCCACAAATGCAGTTGAACAAGACAAAACACTTCTTTTTTTTTTTTTTCCAGGAACCTACAGAAACCCGATAACCACCGATAGTCATACTGAGACTAGAGTTCGCAGAAACAATATCAAACTGACTCCTATATAGGTGCAGCCAGATTAAATCGAATAGACAAACGCAACATTTAAAGACATTCCCAGCACATTCGATGCCAGTGAAGAACAAAATTTGGCAATCAATAATTTCAGTAGACTGTAGACAATAAAAGGCATGCACAAGAGTAAGCAACAAAAAAAACATATCAGAAGGCGAAATTCGAGGAACTATGGATGACTGGTTAAAAATATTGAACAAGATATTCACAGCAGAAAACTGAGGAAAGACCACAAAGGCATGACGAGAGATAAATGAAAAAAACAAACAATGATGCCCGTCAATCAAGTGCTGGCTTTGCACGTAGTACAGCATTGTATTACTCTGCCTCCACTGTTGATTGTACTGCGTTGGTTGTACTGCTGCTGCCCTATCGACATGAAACTCTGCATGCCCCAGCAAATTCCTGCCAAAAGCAAACTGGAAAAAAGAAAAAGAAATTACACAACTTCAAAGATAGCTTTCATTCCAATCCTACGGAACGATTTCCTCTTTGCTGGTCAGCCCTTAAAAAAATCTTCCAGTCTGCTTTTTCAAAAAAGCCACAACAGATAGTTGTCTCTCTTGCAAGCCACTAACAAAGGTTCTTCGTAAAATTTGGCAAACCACACAATCAAAACAGATGGCCAATCGTACACGGTTCTGTTGGGACCTTGGCTGTGAAGTAAAGGTTGGTCTCGAGCACTGTTTTGGTACGGTAACCACCTTCTTTGGTACGAATAGTCCGGCGCACAAGCGCCCGCTGCGAGAGCACATTACGGATAGAAACTATTCCCTTGGCAGAGTCGGCGTGGATCGTCTGTCCCGAGAAAAAAACTTAAACTTCCTTCTTAAGCAACTCGACATATTGGCGTTGTGGCCCAATTTGTCCCCACAAGATCCTCAGCGTGTCCTAACGGTGAAGAAAATTGCATTGCAGATGCCGTGCCACCCTCACATCCGAGCACTCGTCACTTTTGTACTAAAATTTGCGTTAGCATGTTGAAAATTGTGCAAAACAGATTGGTATCCCACACTGGTGGGTCGCCCAGCGGTACAACCTAGGCAATAAGGACTGAACGAATCGCAGCAGATGTTGCGAGCCGTCCCAGCCAATCCGGTGCCGTGGACGCATCATGCGACTGAGCGGCGTCAGATTGGCTCGGACTTGTAGCGTCCGCTGCGGCCTGTCAAAAAGTGAAATGGAGTACGGTGAACCTTCAACCCACCCCGAGCGGAAAACATGCTCAAGCTCAACGAGGGCGTAGTGAAATGGCAGACGTCGGTACGCTGAGTCGGCACGAGCTAGCATCGCCCCTCTTGTACGACCACACCAACGTGCCGGGAACGCAATCGCAGCAACGCAGACTACGATAACCGACGGGACAAAACATCAAGGAGGCCTTTCGGTTCTTTCGCCTCCAGCACGAGCTCTCTACCTTTGATAACATTTTGGCGTCCTGCAAGCTTCTAGAGGGCGCGCACAGCCAAAGCGGAGCAGATGGCAACGAAGCATGATGGAAGCCAGATGTCCGGAGCAGACGTCCTGCAGGGATCCACTAGTAATGACGTTAGAAGAAAAAAGGTGCAGGCCAAGTCTTCCAGCTAGGTGGCACTGGATCTAACCACCAACGAATGCAGTTCTCCAATCAAACTAAAAATTTGTACCTAAAATAAAAAGCTTTTGATAGGACATTAAAATGTGCTTGAGTAGCCTCCGGCTGACACGCACTGAACCCTACTGGAATAAAAACAAACTATTCGATGGTACCCTGGGGCACTTGGCACTACGCAACAAGTCGGTCGGCCATGTGGTGGGTAAGACGAGAGCTACGGAGCAAACACCTCATCTTCGTTCTGCGGCCCCGGACTTGGAACTTTAAGGACAGTAGATGGACTTTGAAAACTGCCAAGTTTTTCTAAAATTGCGAGAACCCTCCCTAATCCTTGGGACGAGGGAACACTTATTTTGCAAAATAAACCCATAAAGGGTTTCTTTTGCAAAATAACCTCGGTATCACCAGTCCTGAAATTGAGTATAAAGGTTGGTAAAATCGTTGCACACAGCGATAACTGCGAGGAAAAGCCAAACATAGGATAAAATAAAATGCTCAGGTTTCTACCAAACTCCCGTGAATGGAGAATCAGTCTTTGTAAAAGGGGCCCTGCAATCATATTTAAGTGTCTACCTTTTTTGCGGTTTCCACGTCTCTTGTGGTTCGGGCAAGCCAGCGGGCACGGAGAGAGTAACTAAATATCAGTGCGTCATATTTGAACCGGACGACGCGGAAACCTTTTTCACCGATGAGGGCGACCCGCGGTACCGAAAGCGTGCGATATGTGCAGTCTTTAGTCCCGGGCTTACTACTGGTCAGAGCCGCTAAAAGCTTCTTTTTAGTCGAAATACAAAATATATGTGGCGCGAACTGTATCAATTATTTATAAAAGTAGTTGTTGTTCGGTATTTTAGATCAGAAAAGAAAGAAATGCAGGTTATAAAGCACGAAAACAAGAAATGACCCGTCGACATACCCGCCACCAAGCAGTGGAAAAGGCGGCGCATACTAGAAAGGAGTAGCAGGATCAGGCGCCGACATGGAAAGGTCCCAGATGTACGTGGCGGCACCGCGGTCCTATGGACAAGAGGATCCGACCGGCTTTGAGCGTTCCGAAGGCCTTCGACGAGAAGCTTTGTCTTGCGGTTTTGCCGTTTTGCGGTATGGCAGCACGAAGTGGCTTCCATTCTGGACTGATCTTTACCCCGTGTTTGCTGTCGTTTGTGGCCAATGAAGTGTCATGTTGAATTAGTATTTAATCATGCAGCAAATGCAATGAGAGCCACTCTGGCTGCCCGCTGTATACAGCCTATCCAGAACATGCTTTAGTGGCGCCCTCTCGCGCCATCGACACGGAGTGCGGCAGCCGTGAGCGCTCGACCAGCTCACTACCCCTCCTATAGTTCACGGCCACTCAAGCAACCAAGGACGTCATGAGGGAGGTTATTTTTTGCTCGTTTTTGTAATTTAAATTTGTCTATAACTTCTAAAATGTATGAATTTCACGAATTCATACATTCACGAAATGTATAAATTTCGTGAAAAGAAAAGTTTCACTAGGTTACTACGTTCAGTGCGCTCAGGTTCGGTGAAAATTAAAAACCAGTAAAAAAGTCGCTGCAGGGCCCCTTTAAGTTTCGAGATTAAATGAGGCTCCAACAGAAGCACTGCCTGCAAATTTAGCAGGAAAGAACACTAAAAGGATGTATGCTCCGTCTGCGATGTTACGTCTGTTTGTAACTTTACATCTGTAAGTGACTTTACAGCTCTTTTTAAGAATACAACCAGCTCCCCGAAAATATTGATTCCCCATTCAAACGGTTTGCATAGGCTTTGCCTGTTAACGAGTGGAACACTCTCAGAAGGAGACGCCAACTAACTGATCAGAAAATGCACAGATCAGACCAATCACAAGATCAATCACAACATAGCACACTAGGGGGTTTTCGACAGAGGTCTACACGCCAGAACTCGGTGAGCTTCATCGAAATGAGATCTGCCATAAGACCCCACGACCCCTCAAACATAACTGCTGAACACCATTCATGGTTTGCAAACTACTAACAGCAAACAGTACAAAGGTGACCAGACTGTGTAGTAGACGTGAAAAGACAGCATCCGTGCAGTGTGCAACATCTGCACCCGAGGTCATACAATGTGATCCTGCATTCTCCTAGTCCTGTTCATTAACTGGGCTATGATGTCGGAGTTAGTAGTATATCACAGTTATCACCATAGGAAAGGATTGCACACCCAATTCATACATGCAGCCGAAATTATGCTTGAGCTCCCAGACGCAAATGTTGAGCGCTGCGCACTGCTTCCTTTCTGTGCCTACCGCATGACCAGGCGGCCCCAATCTCGGATACACCATGCACAGACAAACAGAAAAAAACAATAGAAGACAAGCACGCCAAACAAGCACAGGCAAACAATGGGTGCACACACATCAAACGTTGTCTCGTAACGCCACTGAGCATCTGAAACCTGCGTCCAGCTTCGCCTCCTCCCCTTACTCAAATTGAAATACTGAAGATGGCCTTGTCCCTGTTTTCAGCAAGAAACGCTGGGGATGAATGTGCACCAGCAGAGGACAAGTGAGCCAAAGAACCTGTCAGGCTGTGCCCATGTGAGTGCCGTCCACATCAACTGTGTATTCTGGGACAGTTCCAAGGAGATTCCCGGGAAAAGTTCAAGGAGACGCCTAGGACATCCTCCCAGACAGTTCCAGAAAAGATCAAGGGGAGTTTCACAGATTCGCAGGGTAACCCTGGAACAGTTCCAGAAGTGTCCCAGAAGGGCTCCTAAAATAGGTCCCAGGATAACTCAGGTCGAACTTTAGGACAGTTCCCAGGTAGTTCCTGGGGAGGTTCAGGGACAGGTTCCTCACACTGTTCTAGGAGACTTCTTGAGGAGTTTCGGGAGACTTCGAGAAGGCCTCCAGGACAGTTCTTGGAAAGCTCCAGAAAAATTCCAAAGGAATTACTGGAGCAGTTCTTGAACAGGTGTTTAAGATTGCTCCAGAATGCTTTTAGAAGTTTCCAATGCAGTCCTGGAGAACCTCCAACAGAAACTCCAACAGAGTTCCAGGCAATCCCCAGAAAGGTAATTCCGGGAGACTCCCAGAAGAGCACCAGGGCAGTTCAAAGGATATTTCCAGGATATCTTCCAGAACAATGTCCAGGACAACTCGGAGGGTTTCCAAAAATGCTCCAAGGGAGTTCCTCTAACACATGTCAGGACAATTCCAGAGCACCCCAAAGGCCATTTTCAAGGAGGGTTCTGGCACATGACAGCTCCTTTGTTGTGCAGCCCTTGAACAGTATCTGGCAGTCTTGAGAGCAACGGTCCATGGAGGGCTTTGACTGTCCCACAAGATGGGATGAGAATTTCTGTCTTCTCTGGGTCCAAGGATCTGTGGTGCCTACTTTGATGAGGCCGTCATATATCCCGTGAGCATCTCAAGACCCTTGAGCACACCCTGGCGTTCGCCACGTGAGCAGGACACAACCGCCCACTTGCGGCCGTGCATCACACCCTGAAGCAGCTGTTCCACCTGCAAGTCCATTGTGCCCCAGCTTTAGAGGTGCTGATGAGACCGATTACATTGTTTTCACATAATGTATGGCATAATTGGAGGGACCTCTTTGCCTCAGATTCGTAAATCATGAGTTTTCACTCGGAACCGATAGATTCCCCAGAGAACCCTGAGGGGTTCCGCAAGCTCAAAAATTTCCTCGGCTTGTCTCCACCCCTATGTAAGGCATCTTTCCAGTTAAGGCACAAATTTAGAAGATCTCAGTCACCTACTGATGCATAACTATGAGCCACTCGCTTCCAAGTACATTAATCATTCTTTTGATGGCCTCTAGGTAGTTGCACCGCTTTAATGCATCAATACCGAGGCTGGGTTCTCAGGGCATCATTTCAGAGAGATGGGGTTTCTCGAGATTGAACAGTTTGAGAACCGATACCATAAAGGACCGTACTGCTCAAAGTTGGTTTGCAACTCGGACCGAGAACAACCTTCATGCGGGCAAAGCGTAGAATTCCTCACAGGTATATAACACGCGTATCAAGGATCAGCTGACAGTACGAGGAAAACCCTGAACACCAAAAAAAGACACTCCTTAAAGCAATGCTCTGAAGTTACCTTCAAATGCCCGGAAGGTATATTCGAAGTGTTCTGAAGAAATAACATGCTTAGAACAATGCTCACTTCATCAATCGTCATACCTGTTCTAGTTTTAGCAAATACGATATAGCTTCGCCAATACTGGAAACTCCTCCGAAAACACATAGGAGCGGCGGCGAACGTGACAGTGGCGCCTCTAGCGGACTCGGAGTCTACGGAAGCAGTCGTCGCAATGGAAAAGTATAGGCTCCGCGACGTCCTCGAGCTTTACGAGCCCCGTATCGTCACCCTAACAGCAGAAACAATTTATTACGGTCAGTTCGCTTGCAAAGCGGAATCCACTGATCTCAACTGCAACGACAATCGAATAACAACGCGCGCATAAACAAAGATAGAGCAGTTTATTTAGCGGTCTCAAACGCCTCTCAGGGGATCACACGCGTTTGAAACGCGTCTGGGAAGCGAAAAAAGGCGTTTAGCTACTCGAACTACGTCGTAATTATTAAAATATGCAAAAACGACATGTTAATATTACCAGAGCAAGCGCACGAGCTGCTGGAGCATAAAAACAAAACAAAAAGTAAGGATAAAAATGACCGTGCAAACACTTACCGAACTTTGCAGAAAAAATGGTGTCGCCATTCCCGACGAAAATAAAAAGAAACGGGAAAGAGGCGAACAACGGCGAATAAAACAAAGAAGCTAGCAAAAAACTATTTCAACGACGACGATCGTTGCGGCGCTTATAGAAAAAAAGAAAGAAAAATGGAAAGCAGCAAATGAATAGCTGGTGGTCGCCACCGGTGTTGAGTTCACGACAAACAAAGCGGAAGCAACAGACGAAACTAATGAAAAAAGAAGAAAGCGTCCCTTTTTTTTCAGCTGCTTGTTGTACATTTCTTTATTTGCTTTCGCGGCGTAGGTACGAACTAAAAACAAAACAGGGGAAATAAATAACGTAGTGCAGCTCACACTGCCCGGTAAAAAAGAGTCGCAGAAATGTTTTGGTCGCAGGCAGCAATCTTCTATATGTGCTAGCAGTGAGTAACCTTTTTTTGCTTTCGAATTTATTTTTCCAGTGACTTTGGCGGGTTGTTCGTTTGCTCGCTTGACGAAGCAGTTTAAAAGTGCATTCAAGTACTTGTTGACGTAGGTGTCCGTAGGTTGACGTAGGAAGCAGAAGAAAGATTTTCCACCACATCACACAAACTTGTTCTTGCAATGGTAGGCAGCACATAACATGCCTGCCATCTCTAAGTATGGTCTGGTGTATGCTCGAATGCGGCTGGTTGATCAACAAACGATGACCCGTAGCAGACGTGCCGGCCGGAGTACACAAATAAAATTCGAATAAAAATGTATAACGAGCTTACACTTCTTAATATATTTAATAAATATCAAAAAGCACGTATGACGATTTTGGATTAGAAACTCAATCGAAGGCGAAAATAGGAGGTTATCGCAGACGACACTGGAAGAAAACAACAACAACAACAGCAAAGTTGCAGACGGCCCTCAAAATGCCCGGGCCTAGCGCAGACGAACCTGGGGTAGTAAGCGCCGAAGCGAAGGAAAGGGAGTAAAAACTAAGCCAAACAAAGCAAGCTACGCAATGGTTTACGCGTCGGGCAAAAAAAAAAAAAAAAGCACAAAGAAAACAAAAAATATACACAGCAACATATAAGCAGGAGGAAGAAATAACGCGGCAGAGTGGCGTCGCCTCAAAAATATAAAAGAAAGAAGACTCAAAAATGGAAAGAGTGGAGACGGTTCAACGGGTGTCGGCCTTTATCGTAGAAGAAGCAGCGAAGCAGAAGATGTTGGTCGTCCCCGCGCTAACAATCGGAATTTGTGTACTGTAAATAACGTGACTGAAATCGCCTTTCTTCGCGGGGCTACGACGCTCTCCCCTTCTTTTTTTGCAAGCGCGAGAAGTCTGCTTTTTTCGTAACTCTGCTTTTGTTAATCTATAATCGCGTCAGATTTGCATATGCACAACGACTTCTTTCGGAGCATACTGACATCGCCGTAACGTACGTGGTTCGAAATTGACTTCTGCTTCTTCATCCGGAGACGATCTTAACGGGATTAGCCAGCTCGCCTGTTCGACGAAACGGTTATAAGCAAGACATTCATGAGAAATGGGAATTGCAACGACAAAACGAATTGACTGATAAGAACAATAAAGTTGAAACGAAGCTATGTTCTGAAATATTTGTACATTTCCCTTTTTCACGAAACAGCGCGAAGGCATACATTCGTGTTTTGCTTGGCTTACATAAGTTGTGACAGAATGTTTTCTTCGGGAGAACTCCGAAATTGCACCCAGAAAGCTGTAACATCTTTCCCACGCGAAGAGAATGTCCTTCACTCATGAGCTGGCACCCATTTTTTAACTTTCAAAGCAGCGAACGTCCGTGACAACTTTTTTTCGTTGGTCACCTCGCACGGAGATAGGCAAAACCAATGCATTTTGGAGAATTTGTCTGCTAGCGGAGACTCCGAGCTCGCCAGGGGCGCTGCAATCACTTTTCGCCCGTTTTCCGCGGGAGTTGCCAGTATTGGCTTCCACGGTATTTGGTTTTAGTGAGTCCACATTCACATTGGAGGTATCCATTTGCCCTCAGCAGCTCAAGCGGTGTGTAACCTAAGCTTATCCTTTGTCAGGGGTGGGAAATGAATGCAGTGAAAGCTTACGCAAACTGAAGAGCATTGTGCACACCTACTGTAGCCATTAAGTGCACCCAATTGGAGGTCCATAAAGTTTAGCAATTGCAAATATGACGGTTCAATGGCATTGCCAGGGAGGAGCCAATGAAACTCCAACACCCCCCCTATTCCGCTAACTCTAATATATAGAGCAGCAAAGTAAATAATTGGGCCAGTTGGTTCATAGTTTGAAATGTAAAAGCCCTGAAAAAAGACAAAAACCAAGACAAAGAGATACAACACAAGGCACACTTGAGACTGTTGTTTATCGGGAATGTACAGGTCCCCTCAAAGTAAAACGGAGCGCCGGAGCGGCGACCGGACTGCATCGCGGCACTATAGCGCCGGCTGCAACTAATAGGTGCCCTCTGCTCGTGCGCACGTGCCGTTCGCACTGTCCTCCTTCTTTCTTGTTTTTGATCCTCGCATTATCGGCGTCTCGAGCTGCCAAACACTGTTCCGATAAACACCGCTAGGTGTTCCGCTCGCATGGGTAGATAACGCGAGGGAAAGTGGGAAAGGGCCAGTGTTGTCGATGAGCACCGCCCCTTGTGCTATCAGGCGTCGATTTTAGGAAAATCGTTGCGCAGCTTGAACTACCAATAACATGTGGGTTGGAAGAAGAAAACGGAGGATCCAGTGGAAGGCACGTTCGCATGCGCAGATGCAGCCATCAGTTCCAGCCAGCGCTGCTAGATAGTGCGGCGATGCAGTTCCATCGCCGCTCCGGCGCTCCGTTTTACTTTGAGGGGACCTGTACATGCTAATAATATAGGCCCCCCACAACCTGTCAGTCATCAATGTGTCGGAGCAACGCTTGTCTTAGATATTCCAATTCTTTGATAGGGCGACTGACAACTCACCAATGCAACCTACACCCTATCCCGAATTTCACATGCCTCGTGCACCTCTCAAATTGTTCTATCTTGGTATCGAGGCGAAATGTTAATGTCATGCACTGTGCTTGCACTGTGCTTGCACTCCTGTGTTGCATGACATTAAGATTGTGGCTCGATACCAAGTTAAAACAAGCAGAGAGGTGTACAAGGCATATGAAATCAAGGATAAGGGTGTAGATTGCATTAGTGAAGCGTCAGTCACCCTATTAAAGAAAGAATTTGAATACATAAGCTGGAACTGCAACGACATGTTGATGACTAACAGGTTATATTAAGCATGTACTTTCCTAATAAACAACAGTTGCGAGTGCGCCTTGTGTTGTATCTCTTCGTCTTGGTTCGTCTTTTTTCGGCGCGTTTACATATGCACATGCACTTTGACCCCCCCCCCCTCCCCCTCCGAACCCCAAGTCCTGGACATCCCAGCCACCTCACCACCCCCCACCACCCTCAAAAAAAAAAATCCTGGCCACACCATTAACGAGGTTTAATTTTTTTTTAATAACTAAAACTGCAGCCTAATTGTATTCCTGGACTAATCATAAGCGCAGTTCAGTTACATCCATGGGGTAACTTGTAACTTAGTAAAATCGCAGTCAATTATAGAAATTATGTCGAGAAATACACAAGTTCACGATGACTTAGCCTAAACATAAATGCTTTACCTTGACACTGACCCGCGTTTTTATACCTGTAAATGGAATTAAAAACGCTACCCTATCTCCCCAAAACAATTTTGTCACGAAAACAATCTATTGCAAACCAGAACCAAGTGTTCAGTTATCGTAATCACCCTCGCAGGGCCGGGGGGTGTCACTCAAAAAGATTGCGTTCCCGATTGGCTGCGGCCGTTACAATGCCTGCGAGTGTGTCCCCGACGCGTGTGTTCACCGCATCCTAAAACGTGATCCCTCGATTCCTGTCTGACGACGTCCTAGAAGTGTCACGCTGTTGCCAAACGCCTGACGCCTGCTCCGCTGCGTGTCACTCTCCAAGCCCGACGGTCCACGCAAGCTTTGGCAGCTGGGAGTTGGGAAACCGCAACGATGGCGGTACTCGCATTCATTCATACTTTTTGATGGGACTCCTAGCCCTAACCGCCGGGACTGCAACATCCAGCGGTATGACACGCCGGCTTTTGCAACGTCGTCTGCTGCCACTTTGCGGCAACTTTTGATGCGCAGGCAGGATCGGACGCCAAACACACCAGTCGCAGACACTTAAGCACCGAAGTATTAGTGTCTTTTCATGCGAGGGAAGATTATATAGATTTTGCGAAACAAACACAAGCAAGAAAATTCTCTTCGTGATGCAAGTTTACGATTCCGTACGACGCTTTCTGCGTTAAAAGTGGCCGGTATGAAGCGGACCTAGGAGCTGGCTCCCACACTTGCGACTGATTACGACCGCCGCGCAGATGGACGTAAGCAGTCATAAGAGGCTTAAAATCGGTTTTTAGCCTCTCTGGACTAGGAGTGTGTGAACCGGCCTCAAAAAAAAGCTAAAGAGGGCCTCGAATAAAAAACAACAATTAAAGTTTTAATGTAGGCACCTGAAAGGGCACATGCAAAGGAAAATATATATATTTTTTTTAAATAGTCTAGACCAGGAATGGTTAGGCTGACCAGGCCTAAGAGCGCAAACAAAAACCACAAAACTTCCAAGAGGGGGGGGGGGGGGGGGGCAAACTTTTGTTTACAGAAATAAATGAAACAACTACTTTCAATCTATCCCAGTCAAAATCAGTCCATCTGTACGTAAAATAGCAGTGGCACAAGACTACCAAACCGCAACCTGTCTTTCGATTTCAAAAATTGTTCCATTTCTTTTTTGGGGGGGAAGTTTGGGGAATAAAGGGGGGGGGAAGGGAGCCGCGAGCCGCACTTTAACACGCGAAGAGCCAAAGCTAGGCTGCCCCTGGCCTAGATGGAAAAAGAATATCATAAAACAAATTTGTAATGAAGAAAAAAAATTTTAGAGCTATATTTACGGCGAAAAACGAATTTGCAGTTGGCGACCGCGCACAGGTCTACCACATGTGGTAGACCTGTGCGCCGCCACCACCGCACGCTGAGCGTGGTGCACCGCCGGCTCAACGCGTTTCTCCCCGCTGCTGCCACCGGAAGAAAACACTCCAGCGCGCCGCCGCCATCAGTTTCTGACCGACGCACGGGTCTATCACGTGGTGTTTACGCTCTTTCAGGAGCATCCTTTGGGCTCTAAAAGTTACTTATTAATCTTCATTTTTTGTTGCACTTGAAGCGAAGATCAATAAGTAACTTTTAGAGACTATAGGAAGCTTCCGAAAGAGCACAAGTACCACGTGATAAATAGCGGCTACTTTTCCGTGGCGCACGCTGGCACCAACTAGAAATTCATTTTGCACTGTAAATATATAAGTAAAAAAATTATCCTTTTCGTTGTAAATTCATTTTATAGCTCCTTTTCCCATCCACACTGTTAAAAAAAATGTTTTTTTCCTTTGCATGTAGGAGCCTCGTAACTACCAATAAAATTTCGACATTGCCTCGCCTGTTGCAGTGTGTTGAACGTAGGAGAGCGCCAGACCAGAAAGAAAAACTGGGAAAAGTGACGTCGTCGGCGAAGTCAGATGGCTCTTGCTCACCACTAAGCTGGCTCGAGGATGCCAATGACAACATCACAATGCTTCAGACAGATAACGGCTGGGAGAGGCTCACCGCACGCCCTGCGGCAATCGCTGTGGACATTTTGTTACATAAAAGCGGTTTACATTTACTTCTGCCCCAGTTAAGTGTGGCAACCAAATTCACAAGACGAAAATCTCTAGGAGTCCGCTCCAAACTTGGGATTTCCCGAAAAGTGCTTCGGCTTTCCTTTAACACTGAGAGCTGCACGAGTTCTGTAAAGTTTCTCCTTGCCTGCGCGGAAGGGATGCTGTGGCCGACATCTGCGTGGGTGGCGAGCACGACGCACGGCCGTCCTTTGAGGCTCCCCTGGGCGAGGACCTCCTTCTGCAGGGTGTCCCTAGCCGTCGCCAAGGACGCCTCTCCGGACGACGCGTCCACCACAAACAGCAGCCCGTGCACGCCCTCAAAGTACTGGTGCCAGAAGGGACGCACGGCGTCCGTACCTGCGATGGGAAAAAGCTGCTCCTGGCAATGCGCCCTCTTGCCCTCGCCTTAAACGGGTATTACCGCGGTCCTTGGACAGACTACTCACCGGTCCAGAAATTTCGGCAGTTTCAGCCCCAGTAAATTTTGTCGCCAGAAACAGCGCCGATCCACGTAGGATTAAAAGAAAATGTGTAAAAAATTTGATAAATGTTGATAATATTTCGAAAGCAGACGTAGCACCCTTTGCGCAACGTTTCACTTATTCCCAAATAATACGACCGCTAGGTTTCACATAGATAGAATTTCCAATTATCCCTCTTTTCGACGGGCCTGTGGGGTTTTATGAAAAAATAGATGCATGCAGCGACTCTCTCCTTTGCTGCCTCTTCGAACTTGCATCTATTCATCCGGTTCTCCGATCGATTCAATTGGTTGACTCCTGATGTCGGCAGCGTGACTCAGGCGCTTCAATCTGTCGCTAAAGAAAACTTTCAGAAGGCACGACAAAAAAATGCCAGACCAGGCACCTAAGGGCCGTGGTCTTACATTATCGCACCTACCGTAAAATGCCGAGCAACTGCCCTTGTGCCCACCACTGCTTTTGAAACGTTTAAAATATTAGGAAAGGACATATCAAGTGCCCACCCCAACAAACTTTTGAGCCCACCGAGCTAACAGAAGCCACTCCTCCGAGAAGCCGTCAGGAAGCGGCGAAGCTTCGTGCGAAAGCGCCGGCACAAAAAAGGCTCAAAGAGAGTGGCACAGATGCCTTAAAAATTAGGGGTTCTACCAAACCCCTATACTGCTCCTATTCCATTCTGCTGGATCAAACAAAAGCCCACCCCACCCCCTCTGCTTCCTCCTCTTGGACCTAGCAAGCGCCCATTCACATGCTTTTATGGTTATCACCAACCTTTGGGTGGGTACCTGCTCGGTATTTTAGGGCAAATTATTACGTCAAACTGGCCCACTACCGAAGGCAACGACCAAGCGATTGTGTCTAAAAGTATATTAACGTTATGAATATTACACAAGCTGAAAAAGAAACATTCCCGTGGCACAGACGTAGAACTCTTTTGCGTAGTTCTTGCCATTTTGAGTTACAGAACTTTTGGTACAGGGGAAGACGTTGTTTTGCCCTCGCCACGCAACTGGAAGGTGTTTGTATTCTACCGCGATTGTTACCCCTTCTCGCTTTTTTCTCGTTTATATTGTTTAACTTGTTCCAAATTGAAATGCCTGTCTTTATTTCTTCCCACCCATACCGGATGTGCGAACTACGTGGCTGAAGACAAGGGTCAACGAAAAAGGTCTGTAAGAGTGGCCGTTTTCCTCGACACCATCTTCAAGCAAATTCCAGGTAAACATAGATATGCCAGAGGAAGCCCACCTCCGAGCTCCTTGATGTTGAGCACGGTATCGTTGACCGGAAGCGTCTTGATGTTGAAGCCCGTGGTGGGCTCCAGGGCGTCCGACGGTTCGCCGACCAGGGTTGCCAGGGCAGTCGACTTCCCAGCCCCCATGAGACCCAGGCAGAGCACCTCGTACTGCTCCCGGAGTTCCGACCCCGAGCGACTGCCGCAGGAAACCCAGTTGCAGCACTGGAAACGCAGAAAGAAAATATATATATATATTGACTATCTTAAAGGGGCAGTGAAGTGCTTTTAGTAGGAGCTTGTTTTTGATGGCATATTGTTTGTTGGGCTTTAGTCAATAAAACTTACCAGCTCCAGGTGGCAAGACGTCCCTAGTAAACTTACAGCAATAGATGTACACTGGCACTATATATATGAACATCAATAACATCGTACAGAGCATTTCTGCAAGTTTTTGAAAAATACCTAAAAATATTCTGTTCGAGATAAAAATAAACTATTTTGCAAGAACAACTTACTAACCTTGGCGGACGTCAAAGGTCTGAAAAACATAATAATTAGCAAGATAATTAACAGAAAAGTACTAGTTCATTTTTTGATTAGTGAAAATAAACATGATTCGAATGAGAAACTTGCTAAGCATAATCGAAAACCACTAAACCAACTCTTTTTAAAAAGACGCAAGGCAGGGGCAGCATTCGACAACCTGTAAAAACTAAATTTGGATATGTTTCTAGGTTTCGGTTTCTTATCAGAGCGTATCTCTGCGCCGACGGTCATGCTCCCAAGTGGCCGAGATGCGCAACACGGGACGCCTTTCTTGCACGTCGTCAGGGCGCAGCCACGTGAAAATAGGGATCACGTGACCCGTGTGACCACCTACGTGCTCCCCCTCTCCCAAGCTATGTTGGTGGAGGCGCAACATCTGATAATGACGAAGAAGCCGTGCTCCAAAAGTATGTGAAAAATCTCGACAAGGTTAATAAAACAACAAAATTTGTTGCAAAATAAACCCCCAAAAAACACCCTCGAATTCAGAAAATAATAAACCCCGGAAATGTCTAGACGAATGCTTTGTACAATTTGTAGAGAAGTCAACGCCCAATATTCTTGATCGCATAATCATACATTGGGCTACTATAGTTCACCGCACGATTACAATATAACAACAAAATATGTGAAAGGCAGAAGTGGAAGCACAAGTAGAAAAATTAATTTGAAGACTGCACTCATTAGCTTGCTTATTAAAATATGACGACCAGCCAATCCCTAAATCAGGGGCCCAACATTTCGAAACCGGTTCGGCTTCTTCTTCAGGGGCGGCTATGGAGGAAAGGAGCCACAATCTTCTTTTTCCTCTATGACCGAGGCGAATGTGCACGATCCCATCTTCTTCCTCTTTGATCGTTTTTTGAAGACAACTGGTGGAGTCGGTTCACATACACAGATGGCAGTGCGCCAAGAAACCTATTAATGATTGTTGGCGTGGTCTAAATGTGCCAAGATTCAAGGAAGAGCCTCCGGCGAGGACTAGTTTCGATGTCCAGGATGCGTGTCTTTAGAAAGTCAATGCGGTGGTCATTTTTTTCAGTGTTCAGCAACCGCATCGCGCTCTTGATCGAAGTTGCGCACATCAGCCTTGTATTGATGAATCCGTTCATGATAGTTCTTTGTTTCCCCGATGTACGAAAATGGGCACTCCGCGCAGGGAATCTCATACAGCACACCTTGCGCTTTCTCTTTAGGGGGCCGATCTTTTGGTCGTGGCATAAAGCGTTCAAGGGTCGAAATGGACTTGTGGGCCGTCTGAATGCCCTCCTTTGCTAGCACCCGTGCCAGCGATTCACTTGTTCCCTTGATGTATGGGACGCTGATGCGCGTGGTTGGCCGGCGTTTCGTATCAACCTGCAGCTGGCGGTGTTGTCGGTTGCGGTTTTGACGACGGGCAATGCGGTGTATGAAGCTGCCCGTAATCCATTCTTCTTGAGGTCGCAAATGATGGTTTCTTCTTTTCCTCGGTCAGAATCAGTTGAGCAAAGGTTCTTTGCCTTTGATAGGAGTGTGTTAACCACCGATACTTTATCACTCCTTGGGTGGTTGGAGTCAAATTGTAAGTATCTTCCGGTGTGCGTCGCTTTCCGGTAAACTGAGAACTGGAGATGGTATTTCTGTCTTTGTACAAGCACATCGAGAAACGGTAAGGTGTTGTTTTGTCCCGTTCCACGGTGAATTGGATGTTAGGCTCGATCGAATTGAGGTGTGTCAAAAAGTTGTCTGCTTGAGACTTCTTCATTGCGCAGAAGCAGTCGTCCACATATCTTAGAAACACCCTGGGGCGTGCAGGAAAGGACTGCACAGCCTTTTGTTCTATGGCTTCCATGCACAGGTTCGCCGTGGCGACAGAGGTGAAGGCCTCCATTGCGGTTCCACTGGTTTGCTTAAAGTACTCTCCTTTGAAGCTGAAATAAGTGTTACTCGGGCAGAATTTAAGGAAGCGGCAAAAGTTTGTTCACGTTGAACTTGGTCCTGTTTCTCAAATCGCTGTCTTTCTCCAGGGTGTTTCTGGCAGCTATGACTCCTAAGGAGACCAGAACGCTCGTGAACAGGGATATCACGTCAAAAGATACCAGAATTTTCGTTCACTGTATGTGAACGGGCTCGACCATGTGTCTTCAAAAAATGATTTAAAGAGGAAGAAGATGGGATAGTGCACATTCGCCTCCGTCATGGAGGAAAAAGAAGATTGCGGCTCCTTTCCTCCATAGTCGCCCCTGAAGAAGAAGCCGAACTGGTTTCGAAACGTTGGGCCCCTGATTTAGGGATTGGTTGGTCGTCATATTTTAATAATTATTTCCCCAACCGGACAGACTTCTGTCTAATGTTTACTTTTAAGTCATTAGCTTGCTTCATGTCACCAATCACTGATATGTAATTCTTCGGTCACATCTACGTATTCTCAAAAAAACTATTTTATGTGGTAAGACTGCTGACTGGGCGAGTTGCTAGTTCATGTTGAATAACGTTACAGCACACAACAAGAGAAACACTCACAGACAGAGACCCACTAAAAAATACACTCACTCAGGCGCTGACTCAGAACTCAAGGTTTGTATTGTCTTCGTTTACTATGCACAAAGAAACACCTCCTCTTCTTTTGCTCTAAAAGTTCCTTTTTTTTTTTTAACTTGCGTTTGAGGTTATCTTGTTCTTAGAACATAGAAAAAGAGAGGGTGGTTCTTTGTGCATAGAAGAAGACAATACAAACCATTAGTTGTAAGTCAGCGCCGAATGAGTGTATATTTTTTTCAGAGGGTCTGTGTTTGTGAGTGTTTCTCTTGTTGTGCGCTGTAACGTTATTCAATATAATTTTACGTGGAAAAACAATATCTGTGCAAAACAAACATGCCCCTTAGACCCACAACCACAAAGGGAGATTTCAACTGCTTTGCCGGCAACTGGATGTTTTTTTAAGTGCGCACATCACAGATTCATTTCAGCGTGCTGTCCAAATTCTACCTTGCAGCAAAAAAACAAACGAAGAAACAAACTAAACGTGGATAGAAATGAGAGAGAGGAACTGATATGGGGCAAGAGAGGGAGGAGGGGGCACGTAGGTGGTCACGTGATCCCAGTTGGCACATGATTGTGCCCTGAAGACGTGCAAAAAAAGGCGTCCAGCGCAACACATCTGCGTCACACTTCCCTCCATCCTACCAGGAAGGCGAGGCAGTGGCTTCGCGCAGCGACCGCCAAGGAGCAGCACCGTGGGCGCAAAGATGCGCTCCGATAAGAAACCAAAACCTAGAAACGCGTCCAAATGAAGCGTTTTTTACGGAATGCGGAATGCCGTAAGATGCTGCCCCTGCCTTACATCTTTCTAAAAAAAGAGTTGATTTAGCGGTTTTCAATGATGCTTAGCAAGTCTTTCAGTAGAACCGTATGTTTATTTTCACTCATTAAAAAATTCATGAGTAAATTTTAGTCCATTGTTTCGTCAATTAGTAAATTTTAGTTTATTGTCTCGCTAATTAGTATGATTTTGCAATCTTTGCCGTCTGCCAAGGCTGGTAGTTTGTTCCCGCAAAGAGATTTGTATTTTCTCAAACAAAATATTTTTTTGTGATTCTTCGGAAGCTTTCGCAGAAACACCCTGCATACGCCATATGGCATCTGAATGACAAATATGCCTTATTAAAAACCAACCCGCAAAAAGCGTTAAGGTTGTTTTCAAGCTTCCATCTACTGCTCCAACTCATTTAGTTTTAATGTACTCTACTGTCTAAGCCATCGAACAGGTATGAAGCCATATAAAGGTAATAACTAAACGAGAGAGTTGACATAAAAATAAACCTATGGGGAGTATTCACTGGCGACCATAGCTGAGTGTATGACTGCTAAGCGCATGCTGACAGCAAGCTTGCACAGTAGTTTTGAAACGTGCATTGCACACCATCAATAGTGCCGGTCCTGTCAGACTAATAATGTCAGCTCGTTCTGAGCATGCGCTCTGATCAGCACACTCTAATATGCCGTCCAGTGAATACCCCGTGCAAGTCTTTTTGCAATACTCAGTTGTGCTCGCTAAATCTCGAATTCAAAAAAGATATCGTCAGAATATTGCAGTCCTACATATAATAGCCACAGCTTTATTCAGAAATTGCGCGTCACGTCCCATGTGGCTCCAGAATGATGCTTTCACCTTAGCACGCGGGTGCGTTGGGGCAAAATAAGATACGCAAAGTCGTGATGTTCATTTTGCGGATGCCGCTTCACTCTGGTTCTACTTGTGGTTGTCGCTTGACACAAGGTGCGCGGTGAGAAGAACCTTCAACGAAGCCAGTTAACCTGACAGAACAAACCACGCACATAAAAAAAAATATTGTGAAACTTTCGAGTGCTGTCAGTGTTTATAGAGATAAAAGCAAATGGTACAATATTTGATGCTATAATTGAAAGTTCTGAAAATTTGCACAAGCCTGCTGTAATAATCTGGTTATGTAGCTGGGCCTGACTATTATATTTTAGGTATTGTAAATTATATTGACTTATGGCACAATGTTGGTGGGAATTCGTCAAATTTTGACAAAATGTATTAGGATGTAGCAGAGCAAGCACTTTGGTGCAAACGGCGCAGAAATCACATCACTGCAATATATGCTGCTAGAAAAACCACAAGCAAGCTTTTTATTGTTACTATTATTATTATAAATAATAATATTATTAATGTGAGCAAATTTGGGTTGAGCTGCTCACGCGTCCTACAGCTCTCCTGCAACACATCAGTGCGATGGTGGTAAAGCACTCTTCTCAGGCAGAAGAATGCAAGCGCAAGCGTCGTGTATTTTAAGAAAGTTGGCCTTTTTCCTACGCGTACTTTCGCTATCGCACAAAGATAGAAATAAAGTTCTTACATCTTGACGCACTGCGCAATGACATACGTCGACAGGTTGCTCTTTGTGTGCCATAAATCTTGTAAAAGGTGGCAGCTGTGCTGTTGAGTACTTCACATGCTAGCTTGCAGTGCGCATCGGCCTGGGAGGTTTGGTTTTCCCCGCGCGCACCGATGTAATGCGGGGAAGCGGCCTGAGGGCAGGAAGAACCGCGATTGCTTTCCTGCCTCCCGGCCAGTTCCCGCACGAGCAGACAGGCCACTGTGCAGAGCTAAGCTCGCTCCCTTCCCCTATACCATGATTGTGTCCCACGCAAGTTGTGAGATGGAGTGCAATAAACTGATTGTCATTATTCCAAGTTGAGGTTATTGAAAATATTAATGAAATGCTACACAAACTATTGTCAGAATTGACTGATGACTTATCATTTGACTGCCCTCACAATTTGCCCATGATTACATTCGAGCAATATATGAAACAGTGTGCTAAACAACCAGGATGGGAGAGGAGTCCACAAAACGACGAGCGCTGACTACATTCGTAGACAAATAATTTTAGAGTTTATTTTCTCATCTTCTTTTTTTCGTCAGACTTGGTTGCTAAAGCTTCCTGTGGCTTTTCAGGAACTAAGAGTGTGCGTGCACAGCATCGATCAGCACTCAAGGTGCACGGGCGCCCATAGAGTTAACTTTATCGCCACAGAAAAACCAAGTGTCACTGTGGTCGGCTTTCTACGACTGGCCATACCATGGGCACTTTCAGACTGTCAACTTCGACGGTGTTGGTCTAACCGCCGAATTCAGAAACCTCACTCAAACTACACTCAAACTGAAGGGCCCCTCCACTTCCTCGAGGAAGGTGCGAGGGCCGGAGGTGGCCAATCGCGAGGACGGATCCGCCGTCGCAATTGGCCAGCGCCGGCCCTCGCGCCTTCCTCGAGGAAGTGGAGGGACCCTTCAGTTTGAGTGTAGTTTGTGTGAGGTTTCTGAATTCGGCGGTAAGAACGTCATAGCTCCTAGCTTCCACTGTATCTTTTAAACACACACTGGTTTGAATGATAAGAATATCATCTGTGTTTTCACATTGCCAGCCCTGGGCCTGCTACACCAGTGAAAACTTTAGCGCACTCCAGCGCTTCTTCATACAATTTACTGATTACGGGGTTTTCAATGACACTCAGCAAGTTTCTAATTGGAACTACCTATATGCTTATTTTCACTAAATAAAAAGCTAATTAGTGACTTTAGTAAATTATTTAGCTAATTACTGTTTTCTTGTTGTTGCAATCTTTGGTGTTTGTTATGGCTGGCAGCTTGTTCCCAAAAAGTGTACTCTATATATTTCCGGCCTTGCTTTTACCACGAACCTGCCACATAAACGTTTTTTTGACTCCACCAACATTTTTGACTGCGTGTGAATAATATAAGCATTGCATTGACCATGCGTCACAGGAAAGAGCCGAGTTGGGTGAGCTCCGCCATATTCTGCTGGCACGCAGCAATGCAATCCACAATGAAGTTGACGTAGGAGCACAAAAACGGAGCTGGACAAAAGCCAATGGTGCCATCTAAACTCGCGGATCTCCCCCCCCCCCCCTTCCCACCACACACATGCACACACAAAAAAAAAACGAAAAGAAAAAAAAAAAAAAAGACCTGCAGTGTGCTTTGCATGCCTGAGCAAATAACATCTGGACAAGTTCCTGTTGCCCATAAAATGCATCCTCACGAAGAGCACCAAGGAATGCACAGGAGTTCTGTAGGTTGGTTTGAGAGAGTACAAAACAAATCCTCTATTTAAAAAAAAAAAAGAAACCGCTCATCTCAGGCACAATTTCTTGCCTCTTACTTTTTTTCAGATAGAAATAGTGCTTTTGCAAAACGAGCAGTGCCATTCGTGGCACCGAAAGGAATGCTGGGAACGTCCTGTATAGGACCAATTGTAGCAGACAACAAAGGTGACCTTAGAGGTGACCAGGGAAACACAGGCAAGCGGTCAAGGGCAGACAAAAACCTGCGCTCCGTGTCTGTCTCTCTAGTAGATGGTGCGGGAGCATACAGGTCATTCCCATAATTCATTTCACACTCCGTACGCAGCCTTCTGGGATTTTTGCAAGTGATAAAAAAAACAGTGGGTTGGTGTTATCCAACTGATTTCTGCATTTATTTACAAGTTATGCAAGTATTCAGCGTGGTAGGTTTCACACTACAGTTTACTACTTACTAAAAATGCAGTCCCATGCGTTAGATATATTTTATGTTTACGAATAAATAGGCCAGGCTGTGTTTCAAACCATTCGTGCGTGCATGCAGCTGTCAAAATAAACTTTCGAAACCCCTCGACAAATTCGCCTGCAGGCAACGCAAAAAAACTGTTTACTGGTAGGAACACTTCTGACACTCCACCATTATGGGCCATCAACGCAGTTCGAAGCGGATTGGCCTGATAAACAAGCACTGACCGCTCATCTGGCACATTTCAGACAGACGCAGGCGCCCCAAATATTTCCTGTTGCCTATTAATTAATTAGTAAACAAATCGCAACGTTAGTGACCTTTTTGGCTTTTTTTTATTATTATTATTATTTCATCAAACAAAGCAGCGCACCGCGGATGCTTGCACGACGACGAAGGAAGTTCTAAAAACAAACAGTGACCCAAGCCAAGGAAAGGCGCCGGAAACGCTACCACGACGCGTGAAAAAGGTCGCCGAAACGTAACCTCTCCTTCAAAAAAAATAAAAAAAAGAACGTTTGCTCAGAGACTGTTGTGGCCGGCAAAGTTTTTGTTTTTATGCCGGTGTCTCTTGGCTCGCTCACACTACCCCGCCGACCGCCTCTCAAGACTCAATGTGGTGATACCCCGAAAGACTAATGTGTCGCTCCTCGTATTTCTAGTCATATAAAAAATAAAAATAAAATATCTTAGGAGTTTGGAGGAAACGGTTGTGAACTTACCCGCCGGAAAGCGATCCGGCAGCCCGCAAAGCCGAGCTGAATGTTTTCCATGAGTTTCGGCATGGCGGCTGCTTTCGTCGTCTGCTCCTTGGCGCGTCGGCGATCAGCGTCGACGAAGCATCGAAACGATGTTTGGCACGAGGTTAGTTTAAAGAGAACTGCACGAAACGACTTTTTTTTACGAGACTTAGCGGTTCGTACTAGGCCGGAACGACGACCGCCACAACTCCACCACGGCTGACGTCGCCATCTTTCTTTTTTGGAACACGAATGGATGGATTGATCCTAATAACTGTTCTCTTTACATCGGGCGGTAGTTTGCGCCACCTAGCCTAGAAACCCCCAAGAAATTCACCGCGGGAGAGTGGTCGCATACCGTGCCCTAGTTCGCCTAGGAATAGAGGAACGCATTGGTTTGTAAGGAGAAAGGGTAAAATAGATGTATTAATAATAGGCCACGTAGCGCAAGCTACCGCCCGTTACAGAGGGTACTGCAGTTAATAATAATAATAATAATACATTTATTTTCGAGGACTATACTCATGAAGCTGTCAGGTTCGTCAAAGCCGACATGGGGCTTGTGTGACTGAACCCTTTTAGGTAGAATTGGTAACAAAATCGGTCAGAAAGAAAAAAAAAACAAAAAAAAGGAAAAAAACAACAAAAAACGTTAAGACACTAGGAGTCCACAGTAAATGTCCACTTCAGCGGTACTAATCAATAAAAATTATTTGAAGAAAACAGAAGAAAAAAAGGGTTAAAATTGGTTTGTCCGTCTGGTCACAGGACATTAAAAAAAAAAAAAAAAAATCGACACAAAACTTTGAGGCACAGATCTTCGAGATGAGGAGTCTAGCAGAATGAACAAAAAAGGGCGCACTCACACGGCACGTCTGTTCACAGCACATTCAAAGATCGACACAAAATATGAGGGACAGAAATACCAGGTGATGAGTCTCTCCTAGTCACAAAAACATACTCCACAGAAATGTGAAAAAAAAAAAAACAGTTATCCTTTTTTTTTTTTTTTTAGTATATCCATATGACGGAGGCGCTTTTTTAGTTTTTTCTTTGACGTAAGGTTCCAGAGATCTGAAGGTAATTGATTAAAAATGTCTGGAACGTAGAATGAACGCATAGTTTTGCCATACCGTGTGTAGCATTTCGGGACGAGATATTTGGAAACGTTCCGTGGTTGCCGTGAGACGAGACAAGGAGATTTAAAGTCGTCAGACCAGTAGTGATTGATCACAACTGTTTCTAAAAAAAGAGATCTAAAGTTCGGCATTGACAATGTCTCAAAAGGGTCTAAATGAGAATAATTGAGGTTATAGCACACGTTTTTCAAAATCCCCTTTAAGATATTGTCTATTTTCGTTTGCCATAAATTCGAGCATGAACCGAAGTTATACCATAGCGCAGGTGACTTAACGAATAGGCAACGCGTTTGCGTAAGCCGAGGGGCATGAAAGTTTTGATGTTATAAAGCAGACAAGAAACGCTTCTCAACTTCGAACATATTTTCGTTAGATGATAATTCCACGAAAGGTCGGAGTCGAAGTGTATACCAAGGTATTTTACAGAGTCGGAATACGGCACTTCAGCACAGTGGCACGAGCTACAACAACAATAATAATAATAATAATAATAATAATAATATTTATTTGCATACAAAAATCTGATCCTGAGTGGCGTGCACGGCTGTGCAGAAAGGTTACAACCCGTACGGCGAGTGCGCCTGCCCTCAAATCTATCCTCATATGTAAATATCAACTGCTAGAATTAGTTGAGTAATTTACTTTGAGAAGTCGCACTGTTTTCGGTTAAGTTTGGGTCACACTTGATACGTATAAATTATTTTGCTCTAATATTTACATCCTAGTTAAAAATAGTCGTCCCAGATAAGGTTGAATGCGAAACCGAAACTAAGTGCTCTAGTGAAAAGGTAACAATGGTAATTAATTCATTTTTTAAAGGTTCGTTGAAACTCGAGAGAAATTCGGGTAAAAGAACCCGCCCATTTTTTTAACTTCATTTTGTTTCCAAGAATTTTTTCCGCCGAGCAGAAAGCGTTAAAATAAAATGCATATTATACAAAAGAAACATACATCTGGTTGCAGTGCTAGTTGGCCAGGGAGGAGAGTGCCATGGTTTCGGTTTCGATCGACACGTCGACAAGAGGTTATACAGAGAGCGTGCACTATAAACGGCCGTTGTTTTATGTTTTCTGGTCCCGAGAGCGTCATTTGTGGTCTCTAAACTGACCTAAATGGCCAGATCTCGAAGCTTTAGCACAAGCCCGAGACGCATAGCTTGTCTTAACGCATATGCTTGTTGTATTTTTCTATTCGAGCCTTTCTGCTAGCGTTTCGAGGTATGTGGACTAGCGAGTGCTGGGAATCTCGACGCTGCGAAGCTCGGGGATCTTGCTTGTGGACGAAACGACAAGACACTAGTAAGTATGCACAAACCGAGCTCGCGCCTTTACATTAGTGTTGTTGCGCAATCAGGAAGTTTGTTTGTTTCGTGCGTCCATAGACGAAATATAACTTTTTGCAATTACTGTTTTTTCTTAATATGCCTGAGTACGCGAGGTAAAACTTGGAGGCGCTATTGAAAAGCTCCATTTGAACACACTTCTCATCGCTTATCTGTACTGTCCCGCAGCACTGCACGAATTCGTAAAGTACCCACCCGCTTGCATTTCACTAATTATATTCAACATCGCATATACGCATAAAGTTATCCTGCAATCATATAGGCCCATTCGCACATACAAACCGCCTTAAGAAACCAAAAGTCGAGCACTTGTGTGAAGAATGTCGCACCATTTGGCGCAAGTGCGTCGGACGGGTATGAACCCCGGTGCGCCAAACGAACGAAATTATTCAAAGCGCATTTGACGGTTGCTGATGGCAATAATATCTGTTATGTGTTTGCTTTATTCCTCACTGAGTGTGCCGAGATAATTTCAGACACACCGTTCAGGCACATATCTTGGGCGTCAGTAAAAGCTCGTCCAAAAAGGCTGAGCGAGGAGTAGGGGACGCTTGTTAGGGCCTCCGTCGTAGCTAGCCGATCTCAGCGTTTGCGAAAACTTAATCTTATACCAGCATAAAACTTGAGTGTGAGATATGTGATGACACGAGGAAGACATCATAGTAACTTTTGTGCAGTAGTGAGGTCAAATTTATTGCGTTGCCAACGCTGGCTCAACTTTGATACTCCTGTGAGGATGCGGCTTGCTTTTCGCCCAATGAAGTAACAAGAAGCGGACGTTTGGCAAACAAAATACGTGTAGGGCTGAAGGTGACCAAATTTCAGTTGTAGTTCACTGGTACTAGACGGGATTACTGACACGAGCTCAAAGATGCACTCGTGGGGTGAGGTGACTAAGCCACGTCTTACTACGCTTGCATACGCACGCACAATATCCGGTGTTTCGGGAACCAAGGAAAGTGCCTAGGTCTTCGTTTTCATCTCGCTCGAGAATGAGTGTATTGTACAATCGTGAAAAGTCAGATAGTCGAAAACGCAAGCAGCGCGTTCGGTCGCGATAGCATGAGATGAAGCTGCTCAGTCGAAACCGAAACTGAGTGGCCAACTAGTTCCCAGAGTGCACTGCGTGGTATTTCGCCGCGATGGGGCGCGTCGGTTTTGGAAGAAGGATGGTGGGCATTATTGAGGCTTTCCAGTTTTCCTTGGATGCCCTGAAAACCGTTATATACTATGTTGCAGGTTAAGAAAATCAGGGCAAGCTTCTTCCGCAATATCCTCCTCTCTTTCCACTTTAGCAGAGCGAATGCTGGAGAGGAGGCGGGTGCACTCGCCTCCTTTTCCGCATTTTCTTTGCTGAAGTGGAAAGAGTGGAGGGCTTTGTCCTGTTTTTCTTAACCTTGGCGGCGTGTACTTCTCTAGCTTTCATCATCATCATCATTGCTTGTGACGTCACGGGTAGGCCAGACCACGCAGCTCGCTTCATTCGCTGTTCGGGTAACGCGCGGCAGAACGTTTCACGGGTTGTGTTTATTTTGTGAAGCGATATTTGTAGTGGGACATTTTACCAGAGGTTGAAATCACACCTGACACGCGTAGCTGTGCCAACAAACACTTTTGGCTCTGAGGTGTCGAAGCCCTCGGCTGCTGGTGTGCTGTTCTCTAACCCAGTACAAAAAGCTGGACGGATGAAAATCGAATATCAAACGCTTTACACTACAACATCTACCACGGCGAATAGGGTGTGTTTTTCATGATGATTCGGACAAAATGAAGCTAAGAAAGGAATGTCTCATCAGATTGGAAATAGAAAAGCGAAATTCGCGTGCGTAGTACACACTTCAGTGAAAGCGACTACACGTATCCTGTTGGCTCCAACGTGTTCTGTGAGGGCTGGTCTCTTATTAGTTCCGGGTTGATTCCGTTCTTAATTTTGTAAACCAGTAAACGGCATCCGGAATCGTTTCAACTAAATCCCTGCTTATTCACCCGGTCGACGCGAAACGTGCGAGACACCCTCGAGATCGAAGCCCTAAAGACCCCCCCCGCCCCAAACACACACACACACACACACTGAAAAGAAAAAAAAAACAATCTGCTCAAAACACGCGTGTCAAAAAAAAAAAAAAAAATACGCGAAAAAAATATACAGCAATATTGACGGCGAGAGATTTATTTTAAATTCTGCGCGTAAAGGTCCATGACGCCACGTAGTGGTCATACACTCTTTTAACCTCACCGAGATAGCCCAGCGGATCGACCTCTCCCCCACGCACCCGAAATGCCGACGAAATCGCGCCGTCAATATTGCGCTCAATTTTTTTTTTTTTCGCGTAAAATTAATTTTTTTGACACGCGTGTCCCAACCAAATTGTTAAAAATAACTTTTTCGGGGTTTTTAAAAATTTAGTAATTTAGTATATTTAGTAATACACCTGCTATGAATTATTACTGTTTGAATGTTTAATTTTTGCATACCCAAATGCGCGTGATGCGCTTCTCAGCGAGCGATTTTAAATTTTGTAAACAAATTTTAGTAAACATAAGATAGAACCAATTAATCAATCACCTGAATTTGCCGGGCAATGGCCGAGAATTTAATAATTTACGAAAATTTCAGCTTTTCTTCGTGCAAAAGAAAGCAGAAGTCGCGATGGGATCAACGTCTTTGCCACGTGTACGATTCGGAAGCAACTAAGCGTCAGTTGCTGACGAGCATTTGCTCGACAGCAACTGTCGAGTCACACTTGCATAGAAGTGTCAGGGCCGGCGAG